GGAGACGGGTTGGAGGCAGGAGGATGGGGGGGTGCTATCAAGGTGAAGCCATCGCACCTTGAGCTTTTGACCGATATGGCTCGACAAATACTTGCTTTGGGGAACGGTCGAGTGGCAACCCTTGATCTCTCTCTATCACTATTGGTTAAATTCTCCCTACTGTAGTTGATGGTTTGGCCACCAAAGCCGCCACCAGTGTAACGGCATCAGAATAGATCACAAGATGGCAGTGACCTATCTTCTTCAGTGACCAACCTTCATCAGCCGCCTTGTCTTCGTCAAGCTGACCACGCTGCTTTTTCATCTGAAAATGGAAACAAGGGAGCCCCCCCAAAAGCAAAAGCAAGATGATGGCAAAACACATACATCCACAGACAGACGGACGAGAGCGCGTAGCGGACAGTCGTTGAGTACGTTGTTGTGCACATGCAAAGAAAACATTATACCTCCATCAGATGTTGGCACTATTCTCGCTCCCATGTATCGCAAACAACCGCCAAAATCACGCGCGTCCACAGTCGGGTACAGCGGTACCAAAGTACACACTACGTAGCATACAGAGGCACCACAAGTTCACACATCACTTCAATGACGGAAACTCACATGTTTTCGGCGAAATAGTGCTGAAGCCTCACACATATTTTCTTTTCAAGAAAAAGTACGAAGTATGGTATCCGCAAGGCGGTATCGTCGCTTGGCGTGCTGTGATCGAAGGAACGGAACGGAAAAAATCACTACCTGACGTGCAAGCTCACGAGCGCACGACTCCTCATCACCTTATCCGCTGTCTGCCATGTCCTGGTGATCACTTCGCCCACCCTACCCATGGCCTGGGAGTCAGAAGACATGGCGCTGATGGCCCCGATATCGTGCATGATGTCCTCCGCAGCGATGGTCTCACCCCTTCAATCACGAAACGGGTAGACACAAAACAAACGGTTGGTGCGGCAATGGGTCAGGAATGTTCGAAAATTGTGGGAAAATAAGGAACACTGCTGTGTCATGGTACGATGTGACACGGGATGTGATGAGAGACGGGACTACTTAAAATCGCGCTGCGGCACAGTAGCATTCCGCTTTTCGCAGCAGGGTGCGACAGAATTGTGTTGTGCGTTCCGTTGTGCTGGCGGCCTGGGAAAAATTGTTTATGAGAGACAGGCAATTGTTTTCGACGGTGCTGATACGTGCTCGGATAGCATACAATTCTTTGCACACGCCCCGGCCTTCATGCTCTACTTGTCCAACAACCACCCAAAGGGAGGAGCAGGGGTAACTGGGGAAGAGAGGTAAGGGAGAGGTCTGGGGCAAAGCTCGTCAGTTTCTGAATCGGGCCACCCAGACCATGCAGTCACAATCTTCGAAACACCATAAGACCCCCATAGCGCCATCTTTGCAAGGTCTTGGGGGTTTCGCCGACCAGGCTCTCGCAGCACCAAGCGGTGGTTCCCACAAACAGGTCACCGAGAACCGCTTGCAGCACAGCCAAGCGTCGAGGGGTTTCTCCCATGATAGGTGGCAGAACCGGGTGACTTCATGGGGGGAGGGTTGGGGGGGGAAAGTTGGCCGCATACCTGATACGGCTCTCGGCGAAGGCTACGTCTTCGGGTACCCCCTTGTCCAGGTGGTGACACACCATCAGCATGTCCAGGTGCTCGTCGATGGTGTTGATCGTATACGGTCTTCGCGGTGATGGTAGAAGAAAAAAAAAAAACAGGGAGATAAAAGGCAAACGTGAAACAATCGCCGTAGTTTCCAAGGGGAACTGCGAACATCGACATCAACAAAGGAGAGGTGTACATCTGTTTACGGGAAGCGCGTGGAACCGCGGCGAAGTGAACCGGGGATCGCAACATCGAACAAGAACGATATTGAGGGGCTAACGCGGAACAGGTGGGGGTTCATTTCAACAAAAAGACATGTGTCAGTAGATCCCATGCGGTGACCTGTTGTGTAAACAGGTTTCAGGGATGAATCGCACTCTGCACACTGCTGTCACCGACTCACGCACCGAACGACTCGGGCGGAGAAAGTTCACCATTTTGACGACCACGGGCCCGAACAGAGACGCCAGTGACTCGGGGGCGACAACAAACTTCGATTGCTTACTTTGGAATGGCACAGAAAAGAAAACAAAATTGTCAAGAATTAAGGATGCTGGCCAGACACGCAAGGGTTGGGATCGTTTCCCTTCACTGGTGTATGGCACAACGACGCATGGCAAAGCACCTCACTTATCCAAAAGAAACAAAAGCAACAACCGCGCTTACGTGACACTTCATTTTATTGCGGTCACCTGGTCGGGTTTGTGGAGGACGGGATGACACTCGGCTCCCCGCAGACGGCGATGATGTCGGGCGCGTGCCCCCCGCCCGCCCCCTCGCTGTGGTAGGTGTGGATGGTGCGGCCCTTGAAGGCAGCCACGGAGCCCTCCAGGCTGCACGACTCGTTAAGCGTGTCGGTGTGAATCGTGACCTAGTGTGGCCGTCAGCACAAGCGAAAAACTGTGAAGAATTTTTGATGGCGCGTGTTGTCGCCTCCACCCCAGAGAGGTGGGCGCAGGGTCTCGTAAAGATGGTAAAAAAAAAAATCTTGGTGTGCTCCGACTTTCCGTGCATCCGAGAGTCCGAGAGTCCGTCCGTTCGCGACCCCAACGTGTTGTACACGTACGTTTAGCACCGACGCCTACCTGTCGTAACAACTGAGCCCACAAACAGGTGACTTATGGGCAGCCAAGTGAAGATTATCTGCTCCGCGTAGTCCCCACCCAAGCAAGCCTACACGAAAATCATGACCGCTAACCATCGCCGAGATTGCTTCGCGGTACACACATACCTGAATGTCGGTTTCCTCCGCGATCGTGAGGCAGCAGTCGATCGCGGCGGGGGTGGTGCCCCAATCCTCGTGCAGCTTGAGGCCCACCGCACCGGCCTCCACGATCTGCAACAACAACAACAACAAGGACGACAACAACAGCATAGGGCGTGGGGTTCGACCCAGTTTTCGGCTACGAGAGTCTTTCGGCTTCGGTTTCATTACGCATTGGAGTATGATGCGCGGTGTTTTCCGGTTTGGACGAAGTCCATTAGAATTCGCTCCAGTTGAACGAACGTTTCCGTACGAACAAGCTCATGTTCAAGAAAATAAAACGTGCTTTGCAGATTGTAAAAAAAAAAAAAACTTGAATGTATGCTGCATCCCAGGTTGGAGGGCCTCGCATTCTGTGTTAAACGTGAAAATGTGTGACCTCTTGTTTAGCAACTGCAACAGAATTCGAACGGCACCGTTTACTGTACTACACCCAAAAACTCCTACCACCGACTGCTTCAATCGGTCACAATACAGCCCACCCTTTCTTCGTCAAGGCACGACCTCCATCGCCCACCCCTATTCTTTCGACACCGAATAGGACACGTCGGACTGCCTGGCACAAATATGCGAAGGTCAAAAGGTCGCACGTTCAGGGCGCCAGCTTGAAAAAGCCCCGGTTGCCATTGTCATCAACGCCCGAGAGACACGACCTTGCACCGACGGTATTAGATTTGACAAACTGATGAGTGGATCGTCCGGGGTACGTGCTTCACGCTGATTCGCCAACGTGCACGCGCGCGCCCGTTTCGTCACTAATGGTAGTGTCCAACCCAACCTGCCCACAGCGCACACTAAGACAGCAGTAGTCAGCCGCGTTGCCGTCAAACTGACCTCCTTGAGCCCCTCCGGCTTGGAGGTGTTCCCCTTGCCCGTGAAGCCGAAGTTCATCGGGATAGCGTCCGTGGATTGGAGCATCATCTTCATCTGTGTCGCCCGTGTCGAGATCCACACGAAAAAAAATGCACAACACATGGGAGAGAAAGGGAGAGAGGAGACGTGAAGGTGGTAGGTAGGTTCATTTGGGGGGGGAATACAAGGGGGGGAATCAAGTTGGCGAACCCCCCCTTCAGAGCGCGGACGAAGCACATCATTGAACTCTCGCGGACTAGACAAGCATCGAACCAGACACAAAGCTTCTTGAGGTCCTGGGGGCGCAATTCGCGTCGACGGTGAAATTCATCCTACCAATATCACTCTAGGTTAAGCTGTAGGCGGAGGAGAGCATGAGGGCCTAATCCGACGAAAAATTGCGGAACAAAACCTTTTCATGGAGGATGCTGTACAAGCGGCAGAATCCACACAATAAATAAACCAGGCCTCCCAAAGGTGGCGATCACTTAGAGGGGGTGGGGAATGACATGAAACATATCACTAGCCTCGAGCAGCCACTAGCGCAGCAGCTGTGGCCATGAGCCACAGGAATTGCCCTCACTTGGTTTCCCGAGCGAATTGGTTTCTCGAGTAAGGTCACCAGAACGCGGTGCGTTATCAGCAGTATTGGACAGCGTGGGCACGCACGCAGTCACCACGACGACATCGTTTGCCAGCAAAAGACAACAGCAACACAAAACAGCAGCAGTGACAAGCACCAACAGCAGCACCGCCATCATCATCATTCATCACCACCACCACGAACAACAGAAACAACGACAACGACAGCAGCAACAACTACAACGACGGACACGACGGAGTGATGGCCAACATACTTAACGTACGTGAGAGGGGTGCGGGGTGCAGGTGGTCGCTCTCGTCCCCGTGGCGGGCCCCGTCCCTCCTCCCAAGAGGGTCGTCAGTCCCGATGCGATCGCCTAAACATGGGGTCAAGGACAAGTCGAACACCCAGGCAACGCCGATCACGATTAAAACGGGGCGCCGTTGTTGTGCTACGATGGCGCGGTTGTGTGCATCGGCGGGAGAGCGGATTCTCCCCGTTTCGAGCAAGAACAAAACGGACACCGAGTCACACGCCTCCGAGCTACGTCAGAATTGGCAGGATCGAAGGGTGTCAAAACTTGGCTTAGGCTGTTGTCTAGGCTCACACACCACCGTTTCCAAGAAAACCCTGCCCGCAACAAGAAGAAACGCAAGCAACATTGAACACAACGTTCAAAAAAAACTCGCTTACCTCACCTTCACCACGCGCTACGAATGTCCGCCAGCACTAACAGCAACGATAACATCGGGACACCCACCTCGTCGCAGATCTGAGGGCAGATGAAGTGAACGTGGGCGTCCATCCCTCCGGCGGTAATGATCAAGCCTTCTCCGGCAATAACCTCGGTGTTCACCCCAACTGTCATGCCGGGGGTAACTCCCTGAACCCCAGATGGGATGATGAGAAAATAGGTTTGACCGAGGGAGGGGCGAAGTGCGTTCATGTGTTTCTGCTATCGCTTGATCAGACAACACAAACACTTCTGCAACAGCTAGTAGAAGGAAATCATGCATAATAGAAGTACGTTGCTCCCGTAAACGGACTAGATTTCCTTGAGAAAAGAAGACACGTCTAAAGTCACGCCTGACCCATGCAACTCTATCACGCCAGCGACCACAAACACTACCACGCCTCCATTCTCGCATAATCATAGTATGACTTTTTGTTGCCCATACTGCTCGTTGCGGCTTCCGTCTTCGAAACTTGAATAGGTCACTTCACCGCCGCTGCTGCAAGCTAATTTCCCTCTCTTCGAGCTTGCCTTGCTCCACCGCAGTCAATACAACATAACGCGAACTTCACTGAAACATCGGATATTTGATGTGTGCAACATGTCAAAATGATGGTGGTATGCACCTCCATGACGTTATGGTTGCCGGTGTCACCAAGCCTGGAAACAATTGCTACGGTTAGGGCAGTGCGCCCCCGTGACATCATGGACACCGGTTTCACCCACACTAGAAGAAATAGTTCAGGGTTTAAGGGTGGCGGTATCTGCACGACGGGTCACGGTTACCGGGTCCACGCAAAATGCAGAGAACAGCTATGTACCTCCATGACGTCGGGGTTGCCGGCCTTGCCCAGGCCGGAGATGAGCCCACCCTTCATGCCCACGTCTGCCTTGAAGATGCCTGTGTAGTCCAGTACGAGAGCGTTGGTGATGACGGTCTCCAGGGCTTCCGCGGCCCCCACGCCGGTGGCCTGCCCCATCCCCTCCCTCAGCACCTACACAACCGCAGCAGAACAAATCGCTGTTCAAAGAAGTGCTCAAAATAAACTTTTTCATGCACAACTGACAGCTACACACATACCGATCAAATTGCAATTTTCCACCCACAAAAAACTTCACTACCTTGTCTGCTCTTGAACTACGATTAGGATAGCTACGGCATATGGATGCGAGGGACTCCAGAAAGTTGGAAAGGACAAGTTGTTTGTTGTTGTTGTTGTTTCTCACATTAGCTCTAGAGTCCACAAAAAATGGGGAGCCCGTGGTCTCAACACCCGCCGCGGGGAAACAAAACAAAAATAGGGTGCAAACCACTCGGGAAAAGAAAACAAAATGATAGAAAGAAAAGAACAGGTATCGCACCGACCGTTCGAGAAACGAGCCCTCGGAAACCGATCAAAATAAAACAAAAACAAAATTAAAGGAGGACGCTTCCCACACCCGCCCAGAGAAAAAATCAAAGGGTAACGTACCAGCACCAGGCACTACGCACCAGGGCATGGGAGTAAGGGAGCAAACAGGACAAAGAGGCGGCACAGGGCATGTGTGACACCGAGAACAGTAGCAGCAGCAGCAGCAGCAGCAGCAGCAGCAGCAACCCACCTTGCCGCCCCCGAACTTGCACTCATCACCGTACACGGTGTAGTCCGACTCCACCCGCACCTTTGTAAGAAAAAACGGGGGAGAATGATCACAAAATATTGGTCCGACACACTTGTAGCCAACAAGACGGATGTGAGGGCGGGAGCGACAAACAGCGGGAGACCATGATGACAACAGAACAGCAACAGCAACAATCGAACAACAATAACAGAAACAACCGAACAAGAAACAACGACGCGGACAACAACAGCAGTAACGACAACGACATCACCTCCAATGGTGACCATCACCACCACTCTTCGTCGGAAACCAAAAAATACCGACAGCGTCGGCTCCACCAACCGCGCTGCCACCTTCCCACCACACGAAAAGATCAGTCTGAGAACAGAACTAGCTTGAAAACCACACGAAAAACAAGACAGAGAGAGAGACAGAGAGAGAGAGGGGGGGGGGGGGA